AATGTAACGTAGCAGTGTATGCGTAGAGCATTTATAAAATGGAAATATATAACAATACTATGATTTGGAGGAAGTTTTTTATGTTGTCATTTATAATTCGTCAATTACTTTCACGCTTTTCCACATTAGGCGAACATTCACAGAATATTTTCTGTAGTACTTAAATATTTAATAACAAACAGGAAAATTTGAGATTCAGAAGAAAACAGTCTCAGATATTTTGCAAACACCGTTGTATGAAGATTCTTATAAGCTTTTTCAAAAATATTGTATTTTAATATGAGTTATAGATCACTCAAAGCGTGTAAAGCGACGAATAAATATATAATAAATAGACATACAAACATTATTACAAATAGTAAAATTGGCCGTTAAATGCGATGAGGCACAATGAATCATATGCTCTTTATGCAGCTCTAAGAAACAAGAGCCAAAAGACACTTTTTGTAGTGGCCGGAACAATCACCCTGTAAAATTAACTCAAGCAGTAGATACGTCTATTTATAAACAAAGATATTTTTCTACTGAATATACTAACGGATATAAAGTCTTCCAATGATTCATTATAATGCTCTCTGAATACTTCTTTGATCTCCCCCATATCCACCTCGCAACGAGTAACAACCAGTCTAATCAAACGATCGTCGTCTGTGCCAAGACCCTTCATGCTCTTGTATAATTGTTCAGCGAAGAAACCGGGTCTATTTATCACGCACTTCACTGTTATAGAATTTGTTTAATGTTAATATATTATTATTAATTTTAAATTGTCATGTACTAATTACCATACATACCAATTGCCAGAAGGCCTTTCTTAATATCACCCGAGAACTCGTTCTCGATAGCAATCTCAATAGCGTGCCCGGTTATATTCTCGTATTCTTGGAATATCTGTCTCAATTGTGGCACGTTTCTTTGAACGAGAATTGCGTTGAACGTTGATTCATCAGTTCCAAAACGGAGTTCACCTAAAAAAAATTGAAAATAATTATCTAGTATATTTGAATGATGTCATAATTGTTTTACATAGGAAACTACGTACCGGCTCTAAGAAGTTCTTTAGCATCCTCTATCGCAGCTGCCGGATCTACGTCGAATGACTCATCTCTGTTGGCACAACATAACGATACCATTAACCGTTTGAAGTTTCCCGATGTGTCATTTCTCAAGTCATCCTCCAATGATCTTCCATATACTAAATAAAGTTGGAATTCCCAATAAAATGATAATACACATCATAAATCATTAACGTAAGAGGAACGTACTTGCTTCGTAAGCCTGTTTAATTATACGAATCTCGTGATTAGACATGGTGCACAGAACTTCGATAAGGACGCATTCGTCGGTACCGATACCGGACATTGCGTCATGCAATTCTTTGGCATAAAACTGTGGTAATGGCATCATCATAGCAAGAACTAATTTTTCGAAGTTGCCCGAAGTTTCGGACTTCAAATCTTTTATCAAATCCTGCGCAAAAGAAACTTCAATCAATCTTTTTCTGTACTTTTCATTGAACTTAAACTTTTATTTACCTTTCCATATAATGTTTTAAATTGAACGGCAATTTCTTGGCGTTGTAGATTGCTACGGTTGGCAAGCACATTAATGATAGCCTTCTCATCTGTACCAAAACCTTTCATTGCCTTCCTTAAAACTTCGGCATCTGCTCTGGCATCAAACTCTCCATATGGTACAACTGTTGGGGACAACTATATTACAAACAAACAATCATTCATGTATATTTTTAATAAACGAGCAACTATTTAGGCATAGCAGGTGTTTTGTACAATGCAGCTTTTTACACATCTTTCTTTTATCTCACCTTAGGCGCAAACTGATTTCTCCGGGGGGCTGGGGCTGGGTGAGGTTGATAAGGAGTACCTCCATGTGGAGAATAAAATCTTGCACCCTGCCCCCCAGAATAGCTTTCACCTTGAAAGGGGCCTGAATTATTTGAGTAAGTATTAGAAGTGGAGGTGTAAGGAGAAGGTCTATTAAAACATTCTTTTTCATCTGGTGCAGTCTGAAGATTTGGGTACAAATCAAAATTTTGCTGTTGTGGATATGCAGAATGTTGACCAGAATACAATTGCTGTGTTAGCTGAGGTGGATAGGAGGAAGTAGATTGTACCATAGGTTGAGGAGAAGCTCCTGGTGCTGGAGGAGGACACTGGCCAGGCATAGGATGGCTGGGTTGCATTGGATAAGGTGTTGAAGGGTAAAGAGAATAAGGCTGTGGCATTCCAAAAGATACTGCTGGAGCATTTGTAAAACCTAAGTTGCCACTTTGAGGATAAGGTGAAGCACTGGGGGCAGAGGCAGCACCAGGGGCAGAAGGTGTACCAGGTGGAGCCCCAAACGATGTTGGTGGTGGTGCATGTCCCGGAAACTGAACGACTGGTGGTCCCTTTGATACCCAGGTGCAAAATTAAAAACAATAGAATCACACTTTTTTTGCACACCTTCTAATTAACAAATCTCTCTACTTTATTACATCATAAAGATATGAATCAAACAACGACAAAAAAAAAAACAATATTTAGAAAAAATAATTGTACTCACTTGATAACCGTAACTCATTGTGTTCGTTTCGTTGAAAAAATCACTGAGCGCAAAAATCTGTAATTAACGAATGTTTATTCTAATTAAGTAAAAGAAAAGGGTGTTTCGTTGGCACTTTGACGAGTGTAATAATAAAAAACGATGTGAAAAAGAAAACAATATGATTGGAGACGCCCAACAAAAGATAACAGAGTAAATTGTATATTTGCGCATTAGTTATGAAACAATGACAAACAATTGTGTTGGTCTAAGCTTTATACCAAACTCTATTCACATCGTCGATCAAATTTTAGAGCTTACCTAAGCTTTCACGGAACCGTGTTCTATAGATATTGGTAGATTTTACTTCCAAAATGTGTGCGTAACTACACTTCAAGTAAAAGCAGATGTCACGAATCCAAGTTTAAGTGAAACCTTCTTTCGGCGGAAGCTGCAGTAGGAAACGATAAAGAATAGTCGTTTACCGGTTGCTGACGTCACGTTTTGCTGACGTAAATGTGTGTCGAGACAAATTGCTAAGTTCGAAGTGCGCATGTGCAGCACAATGGCGGTAATATTAAACGGAACTCAAACATTTCGAAACAGAACTACACTCTGTTCAAAATAAAAGTAACCTCGCTCTCGGACCGATTTTCGTCTGTTCTGTGCAGTTCCCACTACTACCTACCGATGTGATGCATTTAGCCGGACAAAATAAAAATATCAATATTTAGGGAACGATCTAAATCATTTAAATTCTTAAAAGACATTGTAAAGTACCTAATTTTATTAGAATCATCTTAATTGCTAGGGTAAATAATGCTGTGTATGTATTCAGTCATAAACTTGGTATAGGTTTCTGTGACGCAAAATATCTGAGCAGTAGTTTGTGAATATTGATTAAATGTTAAGAAATTTTCATATTTAGTGTAAAATATTGAAATTGAAAATATCTCTTCAACGAATAGTTTGTCTGCATTAAAAATAATTTCTTTAAAACTTTCGAAAGTACTTGTACCTATTTATACGCTCGCCACTGTTCGCACTAATTCAAAGGTGAAACTTTTTTATTTTGACCTTTTTTTAATTAAACTGGTAGTAACGTATTTATGAAATATTTCTGATTAAAATGATAATATATATAATTTGGATTATATTTAGGTATTTACTCATTACTTATTATTATTTATCAAGTAAGCAAATATGCTCCAAATTATATCGTGTTTGGTATCATTTTAATCAGAAAAATGTGACAAATATGTTGGTAAAAATTTCATTCGTTACAAATTAAAAATAAGAAAGTTTGATTTTTGAGTTAAAGGTCTCAGCTTATTCGTTTGTCCTCAACTACTGTAATACAGAGAACGTTCCAGAAAAAATATTAAAGATTTTCAGAGATAAAATTATGTATTGCAGCTACAAACTTACTGAAAGATGGGCGGGAAGCAATCCGACAAAAGAACAATTTTTAACGCATAGAGTGTCGCATGATTAGAAAAAGAAATAAAATTTGAAGAATTACAAAACGGTATGGAAGAAAATCAGAATAGATCTTCAAATTCTTTATGTGGTCGTAAGAAATATTCTTTTAACGATAGCAGCAATAAGACCAAAAAGAGAACAATACAAAAGTAAATAGAGAATTAATTATATCACCGTGTATATGAAAGCGTCACGCCTGGAACAGTAGACGGAGAGCGTAGCAGAGGGTAAGACGGAAAAAAACGTAGGTGGTAAGTGTCCCATGCGCGAAGCGAGGTTACTCTTATTTTGGACAGAGTGTAGCTGTACAAAGATGTATTTTTTTTTTTAATTTTATTTCACCATGGTAAAGATTAAACGTATTGTTCACTTTGTATGATCATTAAAGTCATTTATACCAACGCACACACGAACGTGATTCGCACAAAGCTAGCGTCATCTAACAACAAGTTATTGCTTTCACGATATATCTTCGCTTAGAGTATGGGCGAAACGCAGAATACGACGGATCCGAACTCGGCGCTTAATAATTTACAGAATGTGCCCGTAAACTTTTTTTTTTTTTTTCACAAAATTATGTGCACGTGTCGACGAACTGTCGCTATAATATAAGTATGTTATAGGTATTAATTTGTAAGGATTAAATTGTCAATGTCGAGTGTTTGAGAAAATTAAAAAAAAAAGAAGACATTTTCGTCTGTTCTGCTGATTCAACGAAGAAGACGTTTACAATTCTGTGTTCGACATAGTCATAATACATTTTTCATTTTAATGCGTATTTTAACGTTGTTTGACTAGAAGATAATACATCGAATGCGCATGGCCTTCGAACTATTCTTCTCGAGCAACAAGGGCGGAAATATTTAACCTCTTGGATCGACTTTCGATAATTAAAAATCTCTGTCGCTCAGAGACTTAATCCTATATCACTTGCGTTACTTTGGTAATCAATGTTGCATATATTAAGATACAGCTTGAAAAGGTCTGCTATAGTTTTAAAATAGCTTTCTAGTCTTTGCGTTTAATATACCTTGACTTTCATCGTTAATCATCTAAGAATTGAACGAACGACATTTTCTTTCATATTCTTATTGGAGACCTTTTGAAACGTTTCGTTATATTTCATTTATTTCTCCTACCTACGCATGCATTCGATATGAATTTACGTTCGACGACTAAAGTCCTTTCTGTCGCACGAACTATATAACAATTGTTATTATTTTTTACGAAATTCACGAAGTCCATGAAAAACCGGCACGTCTAATATCTTTAAGCACCAATGTTTCATTTCTTTTCTGTTCTTTTTTGTTCATTCATGACTGGCTATTTCATAATACATTATAATACGCACATATAAACAATCATAAACTGAGCAAGACATAATATAAATGACTAAGAGTAAAGGAATGACTAACATAAGGATCCTAACTATAAGTATTTAACAGAATCATGTTTGACATAAACATTAAAATAATTTCAAATTCGTGTACATTTAAATAAATGCCATCTCGCAAAAAATAACTCTCGTTCGTTGTCTAATACAGGATAGAATTATTGCACTGCAAGGGTAACGTAGTCTAAAACAATATTTTGTACAGGATGTTCCAAAATTATTTGTCGTGATTTTTGGAGATAATTCTATAACTTCCGATCAGTGGAGATCTGTGAATTGATCTTGAGCATGATTTTCAAGGTCAAATATTTTTGCATGCACCATATTCTACTCATCGCGAGAACAAAATGTGTCAAAAGAATCATGGGTCGCAACTCAACCGCTCTCTTGAAAAATAATGTTATATTTTCAATAATTTTGTTGCAATAGATGGCATGAAACAACAAATTAAAAGGAGCTATTTAAATGTGAGTGCTGAAGAAATGAATAATATAATGAAAAATGTAAAAAACCGCATAAGAAAGTGTTTAGAATGTAATGGTGGAACGTTTGAGCATTTGTTGTAAATGTTAAAAAAATGTTAAATATTTCGAAAAGTATCGAGTTTTTCATGATTTTACTTTCATACTTTTTTATTCAGAATAGCACGAGGCATCAATTCATGTCAAAATTCGTAGGCTTCTTCCATTTTAAAAACAAGTGCAATTGCATTTTGCAACTGTACCGATGCACTCCTCTACAAATTTTTTCTATCTTCAATAGAAACAGAGTTATAAGCTGCCCTGTATGTGTAATACTCACGCAAAAATTGAAAAATTTTTGTAGTTTTATTTTAATATTCTATTGTGTAGTTTTGAAATAAATATTGTTTGTTTGCACTTTGTGTATCTAGGCTCCCACCGATCCGAAGAATCACGATAGAATCACCTCCCAAAGCCATCACAAATAATTTTTGAACACCCTATACAATGATAAGTATAAAAGGTAACTTTCATTCATCCTATTCTATCGAAGACAATAAACGCTATTTACTGTATGGCTCTTTGAAAAGAAAATATATCTATTGGTCATACATCAGACTTAGGGTACACAGAGACAAAGAATAATTATTTTGCAAAGCGAAACAGAAGATAATGCAAGACATGGTACTAAACAGTAACGTCTTTTTCCATTACAGTTTTCTTATTTCTTATGCGTAATATCCTCGCTTTCAACCGAATCATTCATCCCATATTAATTGGTCATTGGCCTACAACAATACGTACTAATCATTGTAACAACTAAAAACCTAATATAAAAAATAACTATTAACGCTATGCTATACAGAGCCATACTTTTGCAAAGAAGTTAGATTAGATTTTATTTTGAACTTGCTTTCAGAAAAAGACTGTACATTATTCCAAATTTATTGATCCCTCAATGTCACAGTAATCTTCACAATTTCAACATTGTACGGAAATGTGACCTTGAGGCGCCAAATGATTTTAAACAAGCTATAGAACCATCCTCGCACTTTTTTGAGAACTAATAAAAACGAGAAAGAAAAAAATAATCACTACGCCGACCGTACTTTACAATACTTCAGGCACTGAATCACTTTTTGTTTTGTCATACTTATGAATGATTAAAATCAAATCGAACTCGAAGAGAATGCAGTAGCAAATACTTTCAACATCATACTATCTGCTGTTTCAATTTAACCAGGTTCGTTTCACCGTACAGTTTCATGTTTAGCGGCGCGCTAGGTTCGTTCTTCTTCGTCTGTGTGTGCCACGCGAGCACCCTGGTGCAATTATCAGCCAAGAACTCGATGTCCTTTGGCTCAAACGGCACCAAACTTTTCAGAAAACCGTCCTCTTCGTAACCAGCCTTGAATGGCATGGTAGCGTTTGGCCTCTGGAGTAGGAACTTCACGCTCACAGCGAAACCTGCCATATCGACTGGGAACTTTCTACCGGCAATCCAACCGTCGTAAAATCCAACAAATTTACCATTCTTAATGATAGGTGAACTTAAACCAAATTTCGTGCACAGGCCCACGGGGAACATGGAGACGCGTTTCGTCTTGCGTATCTGAAATATATAATCTTTATGTGAGTTTAAACAATCTAATGACATTCAATGAGAGATCGTGATCAGAGTGGAACGTATATGTCTGACTTGAATACTCAAACAAAAATTAATCACAATTTAGTATCCATTACAGACGCGAGGATAAATAACAACTTAAAAGAAAATAATAATAATTCGGTCACGAAGGGGTTAAGCAAAAAGATCGAACAGAGTTATCATAATATAGAGCAAAAAATTTATATGTGTTTATTTTAATACCTCATCAAATAGGGCTATATCGTACGTATTGTCATCGTCGGCGAAATAAAAAACGCCGTTTGTCGCGTTCGCCCTGATCCACTGTAAGCCACGGTTCCTATTAGACACGCCTCGTGGTTTGGCACCCTTTTTCTGCTTGTACTTCTCGGGCATCGGGGCTGCAAGCAAGGGAAGGTACAAAAGCATGTGTGACACGTCCAATATAAATTAGCTCGCGCCAAAGGCTGACACGATTGCCCGGTTCGGGAGAGACCGCGCTCCACGGTTACATATTTAAATGCGGGCAGCCGGCCGGCAAAATCAATAAAACGCTTTTTCATCGGGACCTTTGCGGCCGTTCCAATTAATCCACCGTCCGAGAACAGATCATCGATCAACGAAATTAATTTTCACCGAAACATTTTTACACCGTAACTCGTGTAAAGGCTTAGTTTTGATGCTTTTCGAGAGTTCGAAAATTGGCTCCTTTTATGGGCTGGGGTATAACGTGTGTCGAACCCGTGACCTGTTTGAATTTATACATGCGTTCATCTCTGGAATACACACGCACGCGCGCGAAATTTTTGTTTATTTTTTTCGTATTACAAAATTATTTGTATTTAACACTTTCACACTTTACTCAATTTTAATGAGTAATACGGTAGTCCAAGTGTTAAATCTACTAAATAAAGAAAATTTTAACGATGAAACCATTTTACCTATTCTGCCAAAAATTGTCCCAAGAATCAAGAAATCATCCATGATTTACCAGTAAGATGCTCAAACTTGAGTCCCGTTCGCTCCAGAAGCCTTGTGACTTGTTTGGTGGTGACGGTCGCGTCCTCGATAACGAGCCAGTGAACATTCTTCACCAGCATCAAAGTGTGCGACATCCTGGTGAGTTCTGGAATCTGTTCCGGTCTGCGATACGTCGGTGTGATTATATACAGCGGTTCTAGCGTTTCGTTGAACTTAATCAATAGCTTCTGTTCTCTCGACAATTCATTTTTAGCTGGTGGTTCTAAGCGTTGCACGATCTTCGAATTGTTCTCGGACAATTCAAGGATATTCTTGTGCAAATGATTCACCAGCTCCTGCACCAACATCGACGCCGTGTCTGGACTTAGCCCATTCGCTTCTTGAACCCTGCGCACGACACTTTTGATCTACAAATAGAAAGAGAACGTTTCAAAGAAGTCGACATGGCTGAATAGAGGTAAAGAAGATTTGATCTCTTAATGCTTTACCATTTCAGTGTTGAAGTCAGTCAACTGATCGAATCCCACGCCAGTGGACAAATGATACTGGTAAAACACCACGAACACACCTATCAAGACTATCATCCCCATTTTCATGGATGGCCTCATCATACCAAGACCTGGAATTACAGTTTCATTTTAATACATAGAATAGATTTTACAGAAAACAATGTTCTATTAGCTTCAGAGACTTGCGATATAAGGCTAGAGAATTGCAGAGGAAGAGAAATGTACCATCAAGTTACTCAAAAGATCTCCGTTGCGAGGCAATTAACGTGAGAAAACCTCGGTCTGGCGAATTATCATTGTAAAATTCATTAGTCACATTGGACCGTGAGATCAAGGTAGCGAACTCACATCGGTACGCAAGAAACCCTCTTGATCGACGTGATAACGACAATGTAATATTCAATTAAGACCGAACGGACGGACTAGCGACAATGAGTTCACAACTTTTTGTGTATTTCTTATGACATGTCGTCCCATCTACGATATACCCTTAACCTATCGTTACCAATCAAAAAATAGACTCGCGTTCCAACACACATGACGACTGACGAACTATAATTGATAAAAGCGATAATAGAGAGACACTATTAGATATTCTTATCGAGCATTTTGGCTAAGGTAGTTTCGTTTCAATCGTCATGCAGTTACAAATAAATAGTCACACGTCACACAACCAAGATATTCTTATTTAAACACATGTTATCCTATTCTATCAGCATATACTTCGAACAAGCTTCGCTGACCTTAACCTGTCGAACCAGCACCGGCATTATCCGGTATGTAATTCGAATATAATTTTCGAAATCGAGTCAGCGCGCCGGAACAATGTTAATCTTTCTAATAATTGAAGATAATGAAATGTTTAATGAAAATAAGACGTATATGTAATATATATGATCCAAAATGATTAATTTAACAACTAAATGAACCGAGGAGTTTACAATGCGTTTTCGTGTACCAAATGCCATTATAAAAAGGGAACGATAAGATACCCGACTTCCGGCGATACGCGTGCTCCTTTATACGGGTAGGATCATGAAAAATGTTCGCGTTATTAAACTTAACGCACAATGTACGTGACATTTTATGGTTCCATTGGTACAACACATTTACCTCGCTTGGAATGTAAATAAATTGCCATGATTTCGCAAATGTTACTTAATCAGTCACCTCTATACCGTTCTTATTGAATCGTTCAATGAAAAAAAAACGATCGACGATGAATTGCACGATCTCATTCAGTACCTTGAGGTATATTTGAAAACACCTCTGAGTAATATCGTATGGTTCATAGCAATTCATGTTACGTAACTGATAGCTTTGATCGTCTGAACAATCATAGAACAAGACAAAGTACATATGTCGGAGTAAAAAATTAGATTCCATCAGGGGGTGTAATTAAACACTGAGATATTTCGTAAAAACAGAAATAACGAACATCAGTCACGTAGGATTTCCAGAAAATAATTCAATTTGTATAATGTTGAAAACCTTCCAATTACGGATAAGGATGTTTATATAGATGTTCGTCATTAAAGAGACCAAACTAAGTCGAATATCTCACGAATACTCTGTAAAATGATAAGACACAGTAAGTACAAACAAGAAAATCCGGTTGTTACGTTACACAATCTACAATGACGGAAGCATTTACCAAATATAACGTAGGTGAATGGGTCCTAATGAAAAATAGCTGATAAAAAACGTGTGTCACGTGTCGGCTAATTGTAGATAAACATCAGCACGGCGGAAATAACATTCGCTTGTTTTCAACAATTCCGCCGATCAATGATGCTATTGCTCGCAATTGCGTTTTAAAATTTATCGCAAAGTGGTCTATCGGTCGCTTTACCACTTAGAAAGTGATACAAATTTAGTGACCACATACCACCCTGTATATTTCTACTAATTGGTATTTAACTTTCTTTCTTGATCAAACGTCAGTATATTTCCTCCTGTTTTCGAATAGGATCAAATCCGAAGTTTCGTTCAATTGTCATTTCGTTTTTGACATTTTTTCTAGCGAAAAAAAATATTGAAAAGAAAATATATATTTTTAGGAATGAATACATTAACGGTTAAGGGCCACTCGGGCAGCCGTTTCGCGAGTAAAATTGCTCTTTTTTGCTCCGAGCAAAGCTGAGAGCAGCAGCTGGAGCAAATTATGTTGACAGTTGTAAATGAAGTGGGGAACAACGGTAGCGGTGGGAGTGTAGGATCGTAGGTAGCCACGTGTTGGTACGTTCGTGAGGCATTTCATACCATTGGTTATTCTTTTCAGCACGTGGCTACCTTCGAAGCATGGTTCCGAGAAGGATCGTTGTTCAAGTAGGTGTAGTCTACTGTTCCAATATCGCTGCATTCTCCCGTTTGTCTGACCACTGCACATAGAGCAACTTCGTGAGCGGTCCTGCATTAGAGTATTAGTAACGGTTAACCTATAAAATGTTTTGTTGGTATTATTTTTATTATTATTAAATAGGAGAAATAAGAAATAAGAAAAAAAAGAAATAATGATCGTATATACTATACACGTTGTGTATAGTAATCGTATTTCGTCCTGGCCCGTCACCATTACCCATTGACGGCGATGTGGAAGGATGTTTTCGATGATAACACGCCAGTTTACTTGAACAACTGGGAAACCGCGAATTGGACGGATCAACTCTGCGTATATTCATCCATAGGATAAATTACGACTTGTTACCTCGGTTGGTATAATTTACGGAACGAGAATACTTTTCATAAACGTTACACTCTTTTTTCCGCTTGAAATGGCACATTTATGAATTAATTAAGAAAGTAATTATTTAAATTCAAACACCTGTCGGCGTGAAAACGAATAATGCACTGATCGTATTTCTACGATGGAAGTATTTCTTTCTTCCTCTTCTTTTTTTTTTTGTAAATTGCAAGTTCTCCGTAAATATTAACATGCATCGGTTGAAAAATTATTCAAACGTTCGAAGGATAAAATATGAACGAATATCTGCTTCTTTGACACTAGAAATCACTAAATTATCACTAACCTGTATTATTCGTTAAGTTTGTAGAATTTACCAATAGGCAGGAACAAAAATTGTTCAAAGGGTTCTTGTAAATTTATCAATCAATTCGCGGAAAAATTGATTTCTTCGCAATCATGACCAGTTCCGTTCTTTCTTCAAATACATGATCAATATTCGCGCCAGAAATATAACACAGTCGATAACCATACTCGAAAGAGGAAGAGAAGAACAAGTGATTTTACCTTCAACAATTTCGTAAGAAAGGTTCCTTCCACACGCGTCACTATAAAACTGACACGATTCAAAACGAACATATCTTTTATATGTGTTCTGGGCATTATTACTCAACCACCTGGCGTTTCGTTTACAAAATTAAGTCTCGCATTTAATTAGTGTGAAAACCGTGTTATTTGAACAGAGATACGTAAAAATAACTTCTTCGTATTAACTTTGCACGAATAAATCGATTATTGAAGCAATTAAGAAATAATATTAAAAAGAAATGAGAAAAATAACGGCATGTTAAAGCTCGTAAGAATATAGGGAAATTCGAACGTGCAGCATTACATAATCAAATCAAGGAATCGCGAAATAGTCTGCTAAAGGATCGATTAGACTTAATTTAGCACCATGACAGACGTACATCACTTGCCGCAGTATCAACTTTGATCGTGTATGTAGGTCACGGAAAGCTGCAATTCTCCGACCCTTTGTTAACCCTTTCAATTTAGTGGCGCCACTCGGCACCGGCGAATTTCCGTGTACTTTTAAGCGAAATCACGTTCTTTGTTCCTAACTAGAGAGATTCCATCTAGATTCAAAGGACCTTTCGATCGTTTCTAACATGGTTTTCCCTCCTTTTCTGGTCGATAACCACGAGGGCCGTATTATCATCGCACACGATCGAACGAGTTCGACGATCATAACCTTTTCTTGATTAATCAACTTATTACGAATTTATAACATTTCTCTCTCTTTCGCTTTTGCTTTATAAATTGGATTAACAACGTAGATTTGTTCAAACAGCTTTCCACCTATCGATCGATTAAGCCGTTTTCGACATATATATCGATTCAACGAACTTGAAGATGCCCCTTTGTTAATGACAATTAAAACTCACCTGATAATCGGTGTTCATACTTCGCTGACGAGCCGTAATTGTTCCGTTCTTCTTATGTTCGTACAAGCCAGAGATTGACGCACATGTCAACGGTTGGCGCGTGCTTCACGCGACGAGAAACAATCAAACGGTAGTCAAGGTATCGTCGTTGTTTGGAGACATCGCGACAGAACACGATAAATTCCGATTGAAGTTTGACACTGGTGATTTTGTTCCGCCTGTAGTTATCTCGTCGCGACACTCAGCTAAATACGCGTATACCACACTTTATTCCCCTGTATAAACTACACGGTAATAACATTGCAGCTTCTTCACGATTCTTAACGACTAATTGTTCCTCTGAACTTGACTGTTATGTTTTGTCTGTTTAATAAATGAGTTGTTTCAAAAAGTAAATGCATTTAACAATCGTGACGGACTCTCAATGCGCGGCGGTTTTCCTGCGCGACAGATAACCTGACAACCACAGGAACCTCAAAATACGTATGTGATCATAAAGATTACTTTCTAATGCTTGATTTTACAAATTTTCAGGCTATCACGACCATGTCCAAAAAACCGCACGACGGAAGCACGTTGTCACTGACATCGTTGAACTGAGGCTGGTCCACATTTGAATACCACTGACTTCTACTTTTACCAATCTTGCAGCGCTCTGATCGTTTGGCAAACGTATTTTTAGCAAGCAGCCTCGTGCTGCTGCGAAATGTCGGCCACATGTCTGTACGCGAACCGAACGATCGTTTTTTCGTCGACCACTGTTATTAGTGTGCCTTAACGATGTGACTTATCGTTCAACATCAATTGTTTCCTTCATTAAGTGTCCATTCGTTACGTGTTTCGTTCACGGTCAGTCAACTAAAACCGGAAACTGTACACCTGACGGAAAAGCCGACGAAACGACAACGAAACAACACTCCTCCGTCGGCTGGCACCGAACTGCTCTTCGTCGCATTCCCCTTGTGCGATCCGTCTACGTTCGCATACTACCCCCACTATGTCGTTTTCAGCTGGCGCAGCAGCCGACGCCGTCGCTGCTCCTCCATATATATGCAAGTATATCGTGATATATATGTGCGTTGCACTGAATCACGTGGGAGAATGTATGTTTGACGCAGAGCTAGGTCTTTTGTATCGATCTTCGAGGAATCCCCGTGGCAACTATTTCGATCGAACAATTGGAAATCAATGCAATTTTAATATCGGATTTTTGAGCGCGTTGCATGTATCAATAGCATATGAGAAGGAGTGGAATGGGACTAGAAAAATGTAGTTAATCTTAAAATTGTAGAACGTGTAAACAATAACGCATATTAACTAGTTCAGTTGTATCAAGACGGACAATTAGAATATTTATTACTAGTTATCGATATCCTAATCTCTCAAAAGATTAGTCCTGCTGTATGAAAATTGAATTGTTATGACTGCTTTATTTTTTTCAATAACTATTATTAACTGATTAAGTTTGAACCTGTAGTTTAGAATCAGCACGTATAATTTTGAGTATAATTAACTTTGGTGACGAGAAGTCGATGGTTTTAAGTACAACCTTGTTGAAATATTCATGTAGATAAAGCAAATATAGTACGTTGACGTTATCGAGGACTCTATTCGTATGGAATCGAGTTATCGAATCGATTGATATTTCCGAATCATTATGCACTATACTCATTGTCAGCATGTCACATCAAACTGAATAAACAATAGATAAGTTCATTATTTGCAATCGTAATAAGCTTATACTGCAATCACGAAAAAGTACTCTCAGTAAAGCAAAAAAAGTTCAGCATCGCCCACGGTGTATAAACGCGGAGTTTGGTTACAAGCTATTATTTAGATAGGAATAACATGCTTCGTTGTGCGCGGTGCAACGTGACTGAAACAAACGCCACCGGTTCACCGTGACGGCGACCAAAATGAGAGGGTTAAGTCCACGTTTCAGGAGAACAGTAAAAGATTAAGCAGTAAAACTCAACATAAAATGCATTAAATTAAATTTCTAAATGCAATTTTTGCAAACTTAGTTAATCGTTAAGGTTGAGTTAGGTTACGCCTCCTATGCACATTATATTACATATTAATTTATCTATTTATAGCTTCTAACGTTACACATATACTGCATGTTCGAATGAATAATAGATAGCATAATAATAATGATAATCTGCAGTAACAGAAACTGTAGGAAGCGAAGAGGAACAAGAGTGGGGAAAAGTTTACTTGCCGGATCAGTTAATCAGTTAATAAGGCAGCTTTTTCGGTCAGGTTAAACTGTCCGTTTACGTAGCTGGAGCTATTCATTATTGTCTGTATTCGATGGTAAAGTAGACTCGACACAGAAACTGTCTCTCAACTTTTTCAGCTGCGCGACCCCATAACAAGTGAAATCGCTCGATAACCATGCTTGACAGACACCACGCGGTTTTCCCTCTCACTCTGACCGTCACGATTTCCGCTATCTCTTTCCTCGTTCCTCAGCGGCCAGAGTATTGATCCAGCCGAGCAATAGCTACGTACGGTGTGTAGTATTATAAAACGGTTGCCTACGAATCTTGAGAGGAACCGTAAACGACGTTACACGGAGTTACTGGTTTTTGGCCGTGTTCGTGTGGTCAAGACACATAATGTAGATATTACATTATGTAATAGACGTAGATGTGAGAGAAAGACTTACGGTAGTGTCAAACCATGACCTACGCTGAAACGAAGTATTCTATTAATTTACGGAGTACTTTCGAATTTTGAGTTACTTAATAATCGACAGAGGAATGTGCTCGCATTCGAATGCGATTATCGATTCGATCTAACATGACGCACGCGGAAATTGTATTAAGGTGGGAATTAGAAAGGGAAGGTTTGCTTAATTTTATGTTTTCACTTCAATATATCGTTATTCTGATCAATTGAGATATTTGAGGATTTTGAAATATTTCTTTTATTTTTTAAGTTATTTAAATAACGTTTCTCAATACTTAATTATTTATTCATGTTATTTAAATAAAGTGAACGTATATTTAACGATCGACTTGTAAATACACAGTATTAACGTATTACATAAATTACGAAATAAGTAAGTGGAAAATGGAAAGTATGGTTCTAAGTTGACTTAAACGTGACTCTGTTGTTCCTGTGTTAACATTTAAAAAGTAAAACGACTGGATTCATTGGAAATGCGAAATTCACTCTACCCTGAGAAATAAGTAATATAAAAATTCTACTTAACCTCGTATTAATCCATTTATATCAATACCATCGAAATATTAACAAGGGGGTAACGATGAGTAGAAAAATGTTACACCAAGCTACATACAAAACATTGAATTATAAAAAAAACTTAGTAACAACGCGCGTCGTTGCTATCAATACCGACACATCAGACGCGCATTTTACAGCGTTCACGACACAATGGTGCTTCTCTCTCTTCAGTCTTAAGGCGCACAATGCTGCGATGCATACAATGTAATATCATATTAAAGCTAGAGTATCGATCGTGTCCATATGATCGCCTGTTCTCAGTTTTGAGTTTATCATTATCGAAAGATCATTTCAAACCATGATTGAAAAACAATCTTCATAATGTTATTTAAAATATATCTTTGCTGTTGTGTTGTATCTTTCAATAGACTCAGAAAAGGTTTGCATGTTTAATTATCGAATAAACAATATAGTTTGGCCAGATTATTTAGAGCAAGGTAGCGAAACTATTTCACGAAATTTGTAATCTGATGAGCTTTATCGATTCAGGCGTATTACGAACGCATCCCCTTGCTTGTTCACACGATTCAACAAGCGATGCTTCCATCTCACAATTCAACATTGGACCCGCTTCGACGGACGTAGCGGTTAAAATAATCAGGACGCCAACACTTGCAGCTTCCTGGCACCAGGAACCAATCGTAGTATAGTCTTACCTGCAATGTACACTCATGCACAATTAGAATATTGTATTATATGTAACACATAATACTCTGATTTAAGTCATTACCTGGAAACAACCCATTTCGTCTACACCATCACAATGGTGTTGAGATCCACTGTTACGAGCTTCATTCTCCCCAGCACGCTTCTGTAAATACTGTTGATAGTTCTGAAAATCGTGAACAGGTGGTGGTGAACCGGCAGTGTCTCTGAGACCACTGATTCTTGAATTCTGATTCTCTTCCAAGAACGTGTCAGGATAGAAAATCTCTGCTACTAGTAAACTGGTCCATCTTGGTGATGAAAGACAGCCACCGTCTAGATAATGACACCTTGATTGCCTGTAAAAAATTATCAAATAGAAACAATTATCGTATTTTAATGAGGTAATAATTGAGCGTTTCATGTGTATTACATGCATCTGGTAACTTCAATAGTTTGTGTGAAGTAGCCTTCGTAAGGAATCTGGACCACGTAGCGCCAAACTCCTTGATAGTTCTTGGCGAACACTGGTGTCGCGTACTCCACTTTAGCCGGACAAGGGGTGGGTGGACCTGTATATTCTGGCTTCTCTTGTGGTGGTGTTCGTTGACGGTACTCTGGGGTAGAGGGCTCATCTCGACGCTCAGCTGCTGAGGTGGCCAATGGTTCCCCTTGTATGGCCTTGTACAACATGCATACCCTTTGATACAACAAAAAATGTAATTTAAGGTTTGATTTTAAAGGTGTTTTAATATCATCTTTACTGTCTGGTGACTTACACTCCTGCACCATTCTCACAAAATTTTCGACCGTTTCTGATGGTATCCAATGCGCTTTCTGAATCAGATGACCGTTTGCTTCTGCTTCGTTTTTCGTCAGTTTCAACACTGACAATAAAAAAAAATGTACAATAATGTACAATGTAAAATGTACAATAATTAGACGATTAAACTTATATATATTCACTCACGAATTTTGGGAATAAGATTGGACGGTGGCGACTTTAGGTAAGGAATCGTCAGCCTTAAGTATGGGCAACGCTTTGCTCAAAAATTTCAACGTATGATTTTTTAACAAAGCACTAAAAAGGAAAAAATACAGAAATAGAAGTATAAAACATTTATAATTTTAATTATTTTGTTAATTCACTTAATTTTTTGTTCACTTACAAAGGATACGACGATCCATTGAAATATTGATTCATGGGATTTCGCGGGATATAACCCTTATTGAGATCCCCGCAAATATTGTGTATGGACACGTAACCTTTTCCCTGTTTACCAGTGTCTGAAATTATATGTAGAGGAAAAAATTATGATTCGCCCCCAATGACGCATGACATTGAAGAAATAAGTAGCACAACTTTGAAATGCGTACCATAGCATTCTTTGTCGCCGTCTATATACGGTGGTGGCCTCACTTTAGGTGGTTCAGCGTTCGGCGACTTCACAAAGGCGTAATATCCTTCGGGGGGTTCGTTCGACTCGGTCGTCGAATCGACGTCGTTTGGTTTCAACGATTTTGTTTCTTCGTATTCGTTTGCGTGACACGAAATGCATAAAAGTATCATCTAAAAAGTCAATTTTCCGTCATATATCCTTATTTTTACATTAATCTTCTTTATTTATAATATCTTTTAATTAGTATAATTCCCCTATTGTATTGTTTATAAGATTAAGACCTTTATAACAAGTACTCTTACAATTCCCGCCAATTTATCTTTACACCTTAGTTACATATTTACCAACGTCTTGAAATCATAAAACTTCGTTAATACTATTATTACAATTTAATCTACGTATTAAATGTGACTCATGATTTATACGATTAATTACAACCACGTAAATTAAGAATACAGATAAAATATAAAGCATATGAGTGTATAAGTTAAAAAGTGTTAGTTTGACTTCTGTCAGAATCTTAACCTAAAGCAAAGAAACGCTACTACGATGTTTTGTTCATATAATAAGTTGTTAGCCACAAAAGGCAAAAGCATTATTTGCGTAGTGAAGCCGGGATCAACTACGTACAAACAACAACGCACGTTTGAACTAGCTTGTCCATGGATGATCCTCTGGCTCTAAGCGTTTCGCTCTTACAAGGCATTCCCCGTTAGTAAGATACCGCGGTGTATCGTATTCGGCCTTAACGGTACTCGGTCCACGCTCCGCGGACTATTAATACCCGAGACTATAGTCTTGTATGCTGACTGCCCCACTAAGCGTGCGCGTCTGTCGGCCGTTACATTCTTTCGGCTCTTTAACCTTCAGGAATTTCGAAGATAAAAATAGTCCTGCGTGATTATCAGACCAGAGAAACCTTTATTCACCAATTAGCCTACCACTGATCTATTCTTTACGTTCTTCGTTTTTTCCCGGGATTATTGTACAATTGTTTTAACTTGATATCGAATAATAAAGGCGTAATTCGAGGGTTAGGTGCACATAAAAGTATTCTGACTATATTATAGAGTGCAGAGCCCTCTGCTAACGAAAAAGTGTATTATAGTTATATTATGATGTATATTTACATGTTGCGTGAAAAAGATGTATAATTGAATCTTGACTGGGGAACCGGTAACCTTTCTTCTTTCTACTACCTGTTCCAGTTTGTTCGATGCAAGCAAGGATGTTCTCAGTCATTCAATACAAATACAATGATTAAAAGTGTTTATCCTTTATGGTAAGTTAATCTGGGGTGACGCTTTGTATGGCTATCAATTGAAATATTCTTTCTAATTCCGGAATTGGAGGGAAGTTTAATACATAGATCATGCTTTTTAGTTGGTACCACTTAGCGGCAGTTTTTATGAGGTATTTGTAAAAGAAAAATAAAAATAATCGTAAGATTCCGTTACAGTTTCTTCTGGCAATGAAAGCATTTTTATCTCAAAGTAAAATCATAATTAATTTTAAAGATACGTGTGCGGCAAACGTCAGTATGATTAATGATCGTTTTAATGGCGTTCGACTAATTTTTTGGCACTTCGTTGGTAGAAAATGACATTCGAAAAAACGAAAAAAGTCTACTTTTCTCGTGGTGACGTTTATTATACATTTGCGTAACGGTATTACTTTATACCGGTTCCCCGTTATTACTGTATACGGGACATTTCTATAATAAGCATTAGCTGGTGTTAGCGTAATGAATTTATTCAACTCATCCTGCTACGTTTGATTTACGATGTAGATTAGTCGTGCATATTTCGCATCCATTTCCCTATAAATACATCGATAAAGTATTTCAGGTGCTTACTGTAACCACACTTCATATTGTTAAATACTATAAAAAGAAACAAAGTTTGAACACATCCTTTTTTTAATAAAATTATGACTAGTTTAAATTAATAAAATTTGACCGATTTTGTAGAAGATATATTTCTTACATTACATATGAAAATATTTTTTCAACGATAAGAGAAGTAATACACATTGTTAATTAGAAATGTATATAATAATCTATTAATATTTTATTTTGAAAAAGTATTTTTGCAAAATAAAAAAAAGAATTTTAACTTACGATAAATGTTCGGAATTCCATTGCAGTATCCTTTTTTTTCTTCTTTGACACAGAAATAAAATGCACAGGACTCAAAACAGGAGTTCTGCCTCGGAAATGTCTCGTAACCACTCGACGGTCATAGCAAAACTGAACACATTGAACCCGCGCTATGGTATAAAGAGCCACCTGCCTTCGGTCCCGTATTCATCACCACCAAAGGCATGAACGAACTCACGTCAAAGTATGCCCTAACATACCTCAAAATTTCACCAGTTTATTCATAATTTTTCTACATCTCTTAACAACTCAAAAATACTAATAAAAATTAAAAAATTTTAATTTCAAAAATTTTTAATCAGTAAAAAAATTTGAATTTTTGAAATTCAAAAATGCTAACAGTTACATTTGAATTGTTTAAATTAATCAGTATTCAAGATGTTAAGTGCTACAAGTTAGAAAAATCAATTTAAATTACTTCAAGAATTTAACGATTGCTATTGAAATTGTTATTAAATGTAAAATTCGAATAAAGAAAAATAAGGGTGTAATTTGAAAATGTTAAAAGAACAAGCAATATTTATATCATGGCGCGGCGCGAACCGTTGCGCATGCGTACGCGCGACATATTCGTGATAGAAGTGAAGATAGCGGGAAGTGATCAAGTGAGATGAAGACACAAACAGTCAGTGTCCTTTTCGAATGAATTGTTGTTGATTACCGTTTATAACTGTCACAGCATTCCAATATAATTGCCACTTTCCAGAGACAATGCAATCGCTAAACAGGTTTTCCCTCATGATATGTTGGTTGGAAGAACGTACGTTTTTGACACTTTAATTAAATAACTGAATAATTTAATTGAACATTTTAATATCTATGTTAGAATTTCAGACTTTTTTTTTTACCATGTATAATAATTTTATTTTATTTAAAATTCTGCCATTTACAAATATATTAGAATTATTAATACAATTATAAAATTATGATTTCGCTACTTAACCTCAAAATGAATTATCCGTTTGATATCCTAAAAAACGGTATTTTTCAAATGGTTCAAAGTATTTTTTACAATTTTCCATGGAACCAGTATTTTCCAACAGCTATGTGGCCTCTTATATCGAAGAAAGATCTCGCGAGGCGAGATCAGGGCATGTCCGGAAGTGCACGTCGTCGCTATAGTAGTTGGTCAAGGCCATCAACTCATTGAACATCCTTCCACGGTGAGTACAAAGAAGAATGTGGAACGGCAACCTGTCGATCTACACATTGGCGTGCGAAGCGTATTTTTTATACTTTATACCTTTGTACATTACCATTATTATAAAATTGCAATCACAATTAGCATACTTGAACAAATGATTAAATATAAAACGCTTATTTTCTTTGAATCTCGTTTTGAGTTCAAGTTATTTAAATATAACCTTTAACTAAATAAATTAATAATTGACTTATTTACTTACACGCTTAATATTTTCTTTATGATAACTTATTGAAAAAACTAGAGATAATAAAGAACTGTGCAGTGCATGTCAAGTAAAAATCTGAACTCCCGTATTTACGACAATGGCGAGCAAAATGTATCAGGTTTACCGCTTGGAGCGCTACAGGTCATTGATTCGTAATGTAGTTGTCTCGTGTAAAGAGGCGATAGTTCTTGATGTGCTTTTAAAAAAAAACACTAACAATGACCCAATAGTATATGAGATGTAGAAAGTTTCAACAAGCTAGGAAACCCGTATTATACGTTATCGTGATCCCACATACTTAACCTTCATATTAGGATGAAATTGAACCGAATAAGTTTACCAGGATGGAACGCTAAGTATTTTAATTACGCCCTTCCTTGGAGGAAGATTAAATTACTTCGTCTCAACATGCGATAATATAATTCGAAGTACTTGGAAAATTCACATTCATCGAATAATTACAACAAATATACATTATGTTATCATTTTAATACATAACCTAGTCATTTCATTCCAGTCATTTTCTTTTTTAAATAATTTATTTCTTAACACTAATTAAAGTATAAAAAACGCATAACTTACCCGTGAATGAGATTCAACGAATGTTTTTGAATCTTCACAATGGCGTCTTCTTCAGGACAGATGGTAGAAGGTGTGATACAGAAAAACATTTTCGACACATAGTAGGATAGATGACATTTATTCCATTATTTTATCGTTATTACTTGCTACTTGAATGCTATACTCGTAATAGGTATCTATAATTATGTCGATAATTATGCGTGAATTTAAAGAATACGTGAGGTCAGCCACAAGATGTACAGCCCGTGTCAGTGTTACAATCATCGTACAGGTAAAATAATTACAGAACGAAATTTACGCTTCTTTTTAGTTTTCAATGCAAACACTCGAGTTGAGGGGGAGGGGAGAAGGGGGCGATGGCAGCTTATCAATTTCCGTTAATATATCTAATTCTTCCTTATCGATCGATCTTATAATTTACACACGCTTGAATCACCTTCTTTTCTTTCATCGCTGATAGAATTATTTTTTTCCACATGTTTCTTCTACTTTTTGCTTTAATATATCGATTTAAAGATTTTTCAACCACTATTATTTACCTGCCAACCTAACACCCTTACTTATTATAAATTCCTAATTATCTTACGAAATTGTAACGCGCAATATCGGTACACACGATACCGTTTCTTCTTCATCTGACTCCTTTCCTTTAATCACGACGAGTTAAACTCTTGCTTTGAATAATATACAAATATCATTTTTTTCTTTATTTTCTATTATCCTCGATATATCGATTCAACTCGTCGCCTGTTTATTACAATCAATTCTGCGCTAAAAAACGATCGAATACAAACTATACTGCTTTCGTCCGAAAGTTTTTGGTCTATCCTTAACGCAGCGCGTTTCTTTTAATTTTTTTTTTTTTTGCTTACATTCAAAATTTTTGTCTTCGAAATTATTTCGTAGAAAAATTCGTCACTTTTTTTTCGTTCGAATGACTTGTTTCAGTAGACGAAACGAAAAAATAAAAATAAAATTTCCTGCGAACATGTGGTTCCTACGAAAGATTTAATACTATACATTTTTAAAAGTAAACGCGGAATGTTTCGAAAAGTATCGAGATCCGAACGCGTCATTGTATCTTTAAATTCGGGCGAACACACGTTTCTTCGTATATAACGAATCATATAGTACGATAATTGTACTAAGATAAAAAACTATATAAAATGAAGAAACAAGAATTTAATCAAAATATCACCTTACATACTCATCGATCTTTTCGCTTTTTGTTTCGAAATTTTTGCGTGCAGGTGTACCCAAGTAAACCAAAAAATCTACCCGAATTCAAAAACATTTTAACCATAAAAAGA